GTTCAAGGGTAACTTCTTTACTACCTAACAGTCTAACTTAACTCACTTAGTATGCTATTACAAAAACAATCTAAAGTTTCTTCTTTTCCATCCTTTTTCTTCCTCCTCCATTATTTATATATTAAGTCTCATATTCTGTACTCTTTGTGTATCCATTGCCTGACTTTGTGGGTAGTTGATTTAATTTTGCATTTTCTTAGTAATCAATTGATCTACTTTCTTTACTGTGGTTTTATTTTCTCTGGTGACAGCTATTTAGCCTTAGGGACACCTCTATCTATAGCAGTCCCTGCAAAATACACTGTAGAATGGTTTGTGGGAGGTAAATTCTTTCAACTTTTGCTTATCTGGTAATTGTTTAGTCCTTCCTTCAAATTTAAACGATAATCTTGCCAGATAGAGTATTCTTAGTTCGAGGCCCTTCTGTGTCATTGTATTAAATATCTCATTCCTCTCCCTCTGGCCTGTAAGGTTTCTGTTGAGAAGTCTGATGCTAACCTGATGGGTTTTCCTTTGTATGTGATCTTTTTTCTCTCTCTGGCTGCTTTTAATACTCTGTCCTTATCCTTGATCTTTGCCATTTTAATTATTATATATCTTGGTGTTGTCTTCCTTGGGTCCCTTGTGTTGGGAGATCTGTGCACCACCATGGCCTGAGAGACTCTCTCCTTCCCCAGATTGGGGAAGTTTTCAGCAATGACCTCCTCAAAGATACTTTCTATCCCTTTTTCTCTCTTCTTCTTCTGGTACCCCTATTATGTGAATATTGTTCCATTTGGGTTGGTCACACAGTTCTCTCAATATTTGTTCATTCCTAGAGATCCTTTTGTCTCTGTGCCTCAGCTTCTTTGTATTTCTGTTCTATAATTTCTGTTTCATTTACCATCTCCTCTACTTCATCTAATCTGCTTTTAAATCCCTCCTTTGTATGTTTCATTTCAGATACTGTCTTTTTCAAAGTTTGTATCTCATTCTTGAATTCCTCCCTGAGATCTTTAATATTTTTCTATAGCTCCATGAGCATGTTTATGATGATTCCTTTTGTAGGTGATGCCCTCTAGCATCCAGAAGCTCTACCTTTTGGAGCTGCTCAGCCCCTGAAGTGATGGCAGGGTCACAGGTGAGCAGCGCTGGCGCTTTCCAGGAGGGAAGAGCTCTTTCCTGCCTCACAGCTACAGTGCTTGCCTCCACTGCCAAGGCCAGGGGGGCCGTGCACACAGGGAGGATCCTCTATGCCATGCATTTGTAGCTGCTATAGGCAGGGCCGCCCTCTGGCTGGCCTGGTTCAATGGCGGGGTTAGCCAGTTTGAGAGCTGGTGCCAGCTGGGAGGAAGGAGCGGCAGGCTCTGTATCACAGTGGGGGATCTCGTAGCTGCATTGCCAGCCCGGGAGACAGAGTGCCTGAAGCTCCTTAAACTTCCCAACATGCTGGGATGAGTGTGCTGGGACAATTTTGTCCACCTGTACTTTCTCCTGACTGTGCAATCCTGCCCCTGTAGCAGCCCTCTCACTGTTAGGAAGTCTCTCGGAGTGCCCACCTTTCTTTTGTCCCGGAGCAGCCGGTTGTGGGTACCTGTTCTCCACAATAATGGCACTATGAAACTACGAGTAATGGTTATTGTTATTACAGGTAGTAAATCTTGTATTCTTCATTCAAACCTTGTTTATGGGCAAGGTATGCACTTGAACCTGACTGAACTGATGAAAAGGCAATACATTTCAACACATGCTATGCTGGCTAGTAATTCTGTTGTATGAATACACTTGTCCTTTTATTTTACATTTGTAGTATTTCATTTTATCATACTTTTTGTAACAAGTTTCCATTCATGTGTAAAGATTCATTGTAGGCGATTGCCTATGGGGAGGGCTTACAGATGGTGGCATGAGAGGTGAGAGAGAAACCTCCTCCCAAAACCACTTATGATATGAAAATATAGCAAATACAACTAATTCTGAAAGAGCAGCCAGAAAGAAGGCTGAGGCAGAAGGAACAGTGCAGACCTCATGGAAAAAGGTAGCATACCAAAGCTGTGATCCGGTGAGACCCAAGCCCTTTCTGAACCCCAGCTCACCAGTGGGAGGAAGAGAAACAGAGCAGCGAGTGGGTGGAGGCCTGGGACTGCTGAACACCCAGCCCTGGAAATCTGCTCAGGGACCAGGAACCTACATTACCTGGTGCTCTGGAGATTAGTGGGGTTGGAAAACTAGGACAGGCAGAATACTTGGAGAGACTGAGATTCCAGCCGCTTGTGGAAAACATATCCACAACAGCTGCCCTGACATAAAAGGAAAGTGGGCAATCTGTGAGGCTTCCTAACAGAGAGAGGGCTGATAAAGGGGCAAGGATTGCACAGAGCTTGCTGCTCTGGAGAAAGGACAGGTGGACACAATTGTCTGGGTGCTCTCAGCTCAGCAGGTTGGGAACTTTCAGGAGCTTCAGGTGCTCCATCCCCCTGGGTGGCTATGCAGCTATGAGGCCCCTCACTGTGATATGCAGCCTGCTGTGCCTTCCTCCTGGCAAGCACCAGCCTGTAAATAGGCTACCCCTGCCATTGCACCAGGCCAGCCAGATGGTGGCCCCACCCACAGCAGCTACAAGTGCATAGCATAGAGGCTCCTCCCTGTGCCCTTTTTTATTTTTAATACACTTTAATGAAGTTTGATTGACATCTAAGTGGGTGTACATATTTAATTCATGCAACTCGACCAGTCTTGGGATCGGCATAGAAGCATAAAAGCATTACCACCATCAAGGGCATAAACATATCCATCATTTCACAAAGTTTCCTCCTGCCTTTATTATTATTGGTGGTGGTGGTATTTGCGCTATGAATACTTAATATAAGATCTACATCTTAGAAAAATTGAAGCCTACAGTTCACTACTGTTAGCTATAGGCACTATTTATATAGTAGATCTCCAGAAATTATTTATTTTTTATAACTGAAACTTTATATCCTTTGAACATCATCTACTGTTTCCTCCTCCCCCTGGCTCCTGGCAGCCATCATTCTACCCTTTTATGAGTCTGACCATTTTAGATTCCACATATAAGTGAGATCATACAGTATATGTCTTTCTGTATCTGGCTTATTTCCTTAAGCATATTGCCCTCTAGGTCCATACATGTTGTCACAAAGGTCGGGATTTCCTTCTTTTTAAAGGCTGAATAATATTCTATTGCATGTACATACATTTTCTGGGTGCATTCGGTCAATGGACATTTAGTTGTTCCTTTATCTTGGCTATTGTGAATAATGCTGCAGTGACACCCAGGAGTGGGATTGTTGGATTATATGGTAGTTCTACTTTTGATTTTTTAAGAAACTTCATACTGTTTTCCACAATCACTATTATGATTTACCATCCCACTAACACTGTACAAGGATTCTTTTTTCTATGAACCCTCCCCAGAACTTGATTGCCTATCTTTGCTTTGTTTTGGTAACAGCCACACTAACACTGTGGTTTGGGTTTGCATTTCCCTGATAATCAGTGACACTGAGTATTTTTCCACATACCCTTTGTCCCATTTCTTTGTCTTTGGAGAAATGCCTATTCAGGTCCTTTGCCCATTTTAAAAATTTAGTTATTTATTTGTTTACTGTTGGTTATTGTGTTGTAAAATTCTTTCGTACTTTGGTGATTAACTCCTTATCAGATATATGGTTTGCAAATATTTTCTCCCATTCCTTAGGTTTCCTTTCATTTTATTGATTGTTTCCTTCTCTGTATGGCAGTTTTTAGATTTGACATAATCCAACTTTTTCCCTTGTTATTTGTATTTTGGTGTCATATCCAAGAAATGATTGCCAAGACAAATGCCTTGGAGTTTTTTTCCCTATGTCTTCTTCTAAGAGTTTTAGAGTTTCAGGTCTTACATGTAAGTCTTTAATCCACTTTGAGTTCATTTTTGTGTGTGGTATAAGGTAAGGGTCCAATTCCATTCTTTCGCATGTGGATGTCCACCTTTCCCAACGTTCATTATTGAAGAGACTATCCTTTCCCTGTTTTGTATTCTTGACACCCTTGTGTAAAATTAGGTGACCATATACGCATGTTTTTTTTTCAGGGCTATTTTCTTCCACTGACCTATGTGCCTATTTTTATGCTAGTACCATACTGTTTTTATTACTGTAGCTTTGTAATATAATTTTAAATTAAGAAGTGTGATGCCTGCAGCTTTGTTCCTCTTGCTAAGATTGGTTTGGTCACTCAGGGTCTCTAAGATCAGGTATAAGAGAAGGATGTCCACTCTTTCCTCTTCTATCCCACAAGGTATTAGCCAGTACTAGCCAGAACCATTAGGCAAGACAGAGAAATAAAAGGAATTCAAATTGGAAAGAAGGAATAAAATTGACCCTATTTGCAGATGACATGGTCTTATATATAGAAAACCCTGAAGACCCCACCAAAGAACTATTAGAGCTATTAAATGAATTCAGTAGAGCTGCAGGACCCAAAATCATATATAAAGTCAATGGTGTTTCTGTACACTAAAAAACCATACAAAGAAGAAATTAAGAAAAAAGTCCTATTTACAATTACATTAAAAAAATTAAGTGTGCTTGGGAATAAATTTAACCAAGGTAGTGAAAGAGCTGTATACTTAAAACTATCAGACATTGATGAAAGAAATTGACACAAATAAATACAAAGATATCCCTGCTAATGGGTTGGAATATTTAGTGCTGCTAAACTGTTCATAGTCCCAAAAGTGATCTACAGATTCAGTGTAATCCTCATAAGAACCCAATAGCATTTTTCACAGAACTATATATATAAAAAGAAACTATGGTAAGTTCCCTCCAAAGGTTATACATTCAACCATTGAAAACCTACTAATAAAAGAACTTTAAATATGTATTTCTAAGTGAGAAATAATGTAAGATGAGAATATTGAATCTCAGTTGACATAATACATGTAGCATAATACATGTGCCTCATTTTCCCATGCAGGACATATTCTGGCTCAGAAGACCAATATCAGTGACAGAATGACCTCCAGGGATTTGACAATAGGAATGATCTTCTTGTCACAGACTGCGGTTGGAATCCTGGGGAATTTCTCTCTTCTTTGCCATTACCTCTCCTTTCACTTCACAGGATGCAGGGTGAGGTCCACAGATCTGATTCTCAAGCACCTGACTATAGCCAACCTCTTAGCGATTCTCTCTAAAGGAATCCCTCAAACGATGGCAGCTTTGGGGGTGGAAGATTTCCTCAATGATACAGGATGCAAGCTTGTTTTCTATGTTCACAGAGTGAGCAGGGATGTGTCCCTTGGCACCACCTGCCTCTTGAACATCTTCCAGGCAATTATGATCAGCCCCAGGACCTCCAGGTGCGCAGAGCTGGCAGTAAAAGCTCCCAAGTTCATAGGCACTTCCATTATCTTCTGCTGGGTGCTGAACATGACTGTAAACATCATAGTTCTCGTGTATGTGGCTGGCAAAGACGGTATCACTGACAAAAATGACTATGGCTATTGTTCTGCTGCTCTTCACGAGAAGACCGTAGGCACATTGTATGTCACATTGGTATTATTCCATGACGGCTTCTGTTTGGTGCTCATTCTCTGGGCCAGCGGCTCCACGGTGTTCATCCTACTCGGACACAAGCAGCAGGTCCAACACATTTACAGGAACCATGTCTCCCCCAGATCCTCCCCTGAGACCAGAGCCACCCAGAGCATCCTCGTCCTAGCGAGCACCTTTGTGTGTCTGTGCACGGTCTCCTCTATCCTTCATGTTTGTTTGGCTACTTTAAGGAATCCCAGCTGGTGGCTGGTGAACCTCTCTGCACTGATTGCCGCGGGCTTCCCGACCGTCAGCCCCTACGTGCTCATGAGCCATGACCCCACAGTGTCTAGGCCCTGCTTTGCCTGGATAAGGAACACAAAATCCCCTAAACATATCATAAACATAAATAGCATGTGTATTCACACTGGCTAATGTTTAATCAACATTAAAATGGTTAATTATTTATTATTAATTCCTCTCAGAGTTCCAGCATATTTATGAAACTGTCACAGTAGAAAAGACTGGTACACAAGACAGACTATTCTCCTAGATAAACAATAGGATGAATAACCATTGTTGTGGAATATTATATAATTATCATGATAGTACTTGTGTAATTGAAATTTCCTTAATATTGCAGTGCAAGAGTCTGAGCCTATGCAGTATTAAACAGTGTTTTTTTAAAAAACGATCTTGAGATTATGGAGAAGTCATTGAATTTGTTGCTTTCTTTCTGATATAATCATTTTTTCCAGGCTTAAACTATTTAACGGGACTGTAGGAAAGATCCCATAAACCAGGAATGTCATTTCTGATGTTCCTTCAAGAAAATGAAGGAAGGTTATTCCACAGAATCATGAATAGCATGGGTTTTAGTAGGAGTGTAAATTCAGTTTCAGAGAGAGGGCTTTGCGGGCCCTGTAGAGTTTGGCATATTGTAACTTGGGAGACGGTAGTCATTTGAAATTGACATGATGATGGAACAGTTCAAACATTTTCATGTAGAAAGGGTCCGCTTGACTAACAGTGGGAGAAGGAGAGCACAAGAGTATGTTTTTGCTGTTTGTTTAAAGACCTCAAGTGAGTAATAAGTGTTAAAAATGCATGCTGTCTGCAGCAGACTCACAAAGTTCAAGAGGGACTAATGGTTACCAAAGGGAGGGGGTTGGGAAGGGAGGGAGAAGGGGATTAAGGGGCATTATGATTAGCATGCATAATGTAGGGGGGGCACAGGGAAGGCAGTGTAGCAGGGAGAAAAGAAGTAATGACTCTATAGCATCTTACCACGCTGATGGACAGTGACTGCAGTGGGGGGTGAGGCCTGGATAATATGGGTGAATGTTGAAACCTCAAGGTTGCTCATGTGAAACCTTCATAAGATTGCATAGCAATGATACCTTAATTTTAAAAAGAAGAAGAAAGGTCTCAAAAAAATGCATGCTGTCTAGCGTAAAATGACATGGATTTGGGGATTTGTAGAAGGTAGATTTTTTTCTGTTATGTGAAGGTGCCAACTAGTACATTGGAAAGAAACAGGCTCCATGGCGCACTCTCTTGTCTCAGGTGAGGAAATAAGTTGTCTACATATATGGGTGGATGCACATATGAATATATACAAAATCAGTCAGATTGTTTTTTTATCAATTGATATGCTGAAAATTTACTGGAAATTTTAAAATTATAAATAAAAGTTCATACTAATGTTGCTTTAAGCTTAAATTATGTAATGGACTAAATTGTGTCCACCTCTGGGTCCCCCCCCTCCATTCGTATGTTGAATCTCTAACCCCCAGTGTGACTGTATTTGGAGATAAGGCCTTTAAAAAGGTAATTAAGGGTCATAAAGATGGAGCCCTAGGGCAGTAGAACCAGGCACAGAGACATGGTCTTGGAAAATTACATCAAAGAGACCGCTGTTTGTAAGCCAAGGAGGGAGGCCTCAGGGATATCAGCTCTGCTGGCATCTTGATCTTGGACTTCCAGCCCCCATTTGTGAGGAAATAAATTGTTATTATTTAAGCCAGCTAGTTGGTGGTATTTTGTTATGGCAGCCCTAGCCAACCCATACAAAGTTTGATATGTATAGCACCATGTTACTTGTTTAATTGGTTAAAATTACATGGAACATATTTTTTCTTTTTTCTATTTTAATCCTTATGTTTTGGCTGTGTATCTTAGAACAGTATGCAACTGAATATATTAAAATACATTTGACATTAATATGAGTAATTAGTCTATTTATGTTCAACATAATAGATATATTTGGGATTGGATTTAACAATCTATCGTGAGCTTTTCATTACACCTATTGCATGGTTTTAGTTTTTCACTCTTATTCCACATTATTTTAAAAACAATTCCACATTTTTTACCCTTTTACTTAAGCATGGTGTATGCAGTATATTTTAATCTAGAAATTATGACATACTTTAAAAAAGTCAATCAAATGTAATTATTCAATACATGGAACTTCCACAGTGCGGTATGATGGCATCCAACACGGGTCTGTTAAACTTCTCCCAACTTTTTATGTGAGTTGATCTGTGCCCCCAAAATTAGTGTCACACACATAGGTCAGAATGCACAAGTTAATGAAATTTCACAGATGGAACATATGTCCGTATGTAACATGTAGCTTATAAAACACAGTATCGTCAGCCCCATGAAAAGTCACATTTGTCCCTCCTAGTAACTACTCGAAAGGTGAACGAACCACTGTTCTGACATCTAAGAGAATAGATAATATTTGATCTGCTTTTTTATTTTTTGTAAATGAACTAATACAGTATTATTTGGTTTGGGGCCATTTCTTTCCTTATGTTAGTTGTAAATTTACCTGTATTGTTGCATAATGTTGTGGGTTTCGTTCATTGACGTTGCTGTATAACAGTCATTGTGTGACTATCGAAGGGCTAGTCTGAGCATCCCACTTGTTTATTTGTTGATGTTCATGTTTGTGTTTTTCAGTTTGGGGCTAATTGTCAGGAGGAGTACTGGAATGTAAATTCTAGAACTTTTCTTTGGTGATAAATATACAGATGTCTGTTGAGTATGTACATGGTAGTGGAATTGTTGAGCCATATGGTTTTCTTCTGTTCAACATTATTAGATACTTTGAAATATTTTCCAAAATGTATTTTTCATACTAATATCCCCACCCGCCAGCACTGTGCGAGATTCCTGGTTTATCCACATCCTGTCAACATCTGTAATTCTGTCATTTCATTTTACTCTTCTTTTTGCTGTCTTTAGGGTCTAGGCGGTGATCTTATTCACATTTCCTTAATGAGCAATGAATTGGGATCATCTTTTCACATCTTAAATAACTTAGGATGATCTTTTTTTTTAAGTATTTTCTGGATTATATTTTCCATTTTTTCCTACTGTTTTGTCTGTTTTATTCTTGTTTCTTTGTAAGAGTCATTTCTTTATGTATGTTGGATACACGTCCTTTCTTGGTTTCCTCTCATTTTTGGTGAGGATCAGCTCTTAATTACCATATAATCTAATTTATCATTTCCTCTTTGGAACGGGGCCTGATGGGTGTTCTACATGCTTCCTTACAGGATGGTTCTGGGTGTCCAGCCCTGGGGCCTTGATGGTGGATATGGGGGTGTGTGGATTGAAGGAGATGCTGGATTCTGGGCCCTGAGAAGCTACCTTGGATGCCCTGTGTGCATAGGTGCCACGGATTGGCTGGAAGAGGATGAAATTGCTAAGGGGCAAGCAAGAACCCCTGGATGGGGCAGCAGGGTTTAATGGGAGAAGCGGTTTGGGCTGGATTCTCGTCTTAGGTAGGCCTGAACTCTGAGCTCAGACCCATGGTTAGAAATATGCCTATGACTAATAAATTTTTTGTGTGAAGAAAAAAATTTTTTCAAAAATTGTTAATATCTACTTCTGGGTATTTACCTGAGGAAAACAAAATACAGATTGGAAAGACACATGCACCCCTATGTTTATTGCAGCATTATTACAATAGCCAAGATGTGTCCTAAATGTCCATCAATAGAAGAATGGATAAAGAAGATGTGATACACATACACAGTAGAATATTATTCAGCCACAAAAAAGAAGGAAATCTTGACTTTGAGACAACATGGATGGACCTAGAGGGCATTATGTTAAATGAATTATGTCAGACAGAGAAAGACAAATGCTGTGTCATTTCACTTCTATGTGAAATCTACAAACAAAACAAACAAGCAAATAAACTCAGAAACAGACTCATAAATACAGAGAACAAACTGGAAGGATGCGGAGATGAGCAAAACAGGTCAAGGGGATTCAGAGGTATAAACTTCCGCTTAAAGTCACAGGGTAAAAGGTATAGCATAGGGAATATAGTCAATAATATTGTAATAATTTGACATGGTGACAGATGGTAACCACACTTACCATAGTGAGCATTTTGTAATGTATGTAAATGTCAAATCACTATGTTGTACACTCTGAATCTATTATATTATGTCAACTATACTTAATAAAAACAATTGTTAATGTAATTAGAAAAATATCACTTTTACCTTTTGGAATGGTTTCTGATAAGGGAAAAGCAAGAATAAAATAGCAGTTAGAATTTAAACTCTGCCTTATATTTATTTTTTTGATAAACTCAGTTATTATATTTTGGAAATATTACAATAAAAGAAAATATTTTTATTGTGTCAGATTTGGGGTACAAAGGTTCAAGATATGCACAGAGTTGGGTGGGAGCCATCCTGACGGCTGCTTGGGACTGTGGGTGGGTAGGTAAGTGATACAGGCTTTTTCTTGAGGTGACAAAAATACTCTAAATTGACTGTGATGATGGTTGCCCATATCTGTAAACATATGGAAAACCATCGAGTCGTACAATTTACGTAGGTGAATTGTATGGTATCGAATTATACCTCAATACAACTGTTCACAAAACTGATGCGGGGCCCCCACTCCACATCGATGGACAGAATATGGGTTGGGAGGTGACACCAGAAGAGGTGATAGTTCTTGTCCAGGTGATTCTAACTGAAACTGGAGTGGAAGACCGCTGAGCTAAGCTGCGCTTCTCCGACGTCGAGGAGGGCAGGTCCGCCACCCTGGGCCTGCATGGGCCTGAGTTCAGGACGCTGCGGCTTCTGCAGCATGCCTCTGCCTCTGGACACCTGTGGGTTGAAGAACCGGGTTAGAGCCGCAATATTGAGTCGATCTGTTTCCTGGTATCATGCACATCATAAAATGTAGATTGTTGAACAAATGGATCTTTCCAAATGTATTATCTAGGTTCTGAGAGGTGAGATTATGCACCCTTTTGAATGCAATTTCACTGTGTATGTATGTGTGTGTGGGGAGCTGTTCTGGTAATTCCCAAATTTCCCCTGAAAATGACTGTGAAATATAATTATCTCATTAATTGTATACCTAAAAATCCCTCTTTTCATTTTTGGGGTCAC